TAGGCAGAAACAACGAGGTCATCGTTCTCACAGATATCGCAAGAAATCATAAAATATTTGAGGAACTTAGAAACGGCTAAGGGCCCAATGAGGAACGGCCACCGCCTATACTGCAGCAGCTTACAGGCACTGATAGCCCTCGAGCCTCCGATGAAGTCCGGATGGTTGGTGTTGATATAACCAGTCTCGATCCGTATGAGATTGCGTATCATCTCTTTAGTCGGCGCCAGGCAGGAAGCCAGGACCGAGCGAACTACATCGTACACTCGCGCTCGCAACTTGTCAAATCTAAATTGGCCGAATCGATCCATTCTGTTGCTGCAGAAGCAGCCCAGTACCGGCGGAACTCCGGCATGGACCTTATGGTGAATGTGAGACACTTGGTGAGCTCAGCATGGACGAGATCAGCACACTGCAGAGAAGGGGAGAGGAGCTTATTTATCTGGCCCTTCACAAGGGTTTCAAAAGCTGCCTGAAGTAGCGGCTCATTCGGGCAGCAACAGCGCAGATGCTTCTACTTCTGGTACGAACAGTGGGCTCTTCGGACCATTGGCGTTCCGTATGCTGGTTCGAATGTCATGGTCAGTGAGCCCGTCAAACGGATCGAACTGATTCACTGCAGCCCCGAACACATCGAAAAAAATATAATGAATCCTCGCTCCGCCCTGAGGCACTGCATAGCACCCCGTAGTAGCCTCCTCTCGAGCTGCTCACCACGATAGCAGGCAGAGGAGCCTCGCCATCTACTGAGTCGTGAGGACTGGAATTATTGCGGCCTTCAATGCAATCCGCAAAACACCGAGAAAACTTCGTGAAAAGCTGCAGGAGTATATTGCCAGCCTGAGCCGCCGAAGAGTTCAATGACAAACTCAGCGTGTCCAACTACTTGACTGTGATCGGCCAACATACCACCACAGAGGTCGGTGCCGTAGGCAGCCATTTCCTGCTCGTATTCATGCAGCATAGTATTCACCTGCTAGTCAATGACCCTATGAAGTGGCAGATGAGCCCCACCCGGTCCCTCAGCCCAGGAAGAGCCTCTCGTATGTGGGTCATAAGAATACGATGCAGCTGACGGGCCATATACGCCGTACCGCAGTGGGCTGATATATGCCTGAAGAAAGTCCCTATCAGCAATTCTTATTGCATTGCGGGCAAGCAGTGTGAAAAACTATGCACATGGTCAACTACATGTGTTGATGAAAATTCCGAGAAAATTTCGGGAAATTCTCATTGGTTTCTATACGCTGCTACTCGAATTCATATATAAACTACGATAATTAGCGAGGAAACTCCTGAGCTCAGCTGAAAAAAGACAAACGTATATTCCTCCAACACTGCGGACAATTGCCAAGCCCACGCTAGGCCCCTAACCCCGGACCTATAAGCCTCGTGCTTCTTGAAGAATGCCTCTTCGTTTTTGATACTGTCTCGAATGGTGACACCGTTCTGTATATCCTTTTGTGATCGACATACCACCCCTACATATCCCTGTCGTAGCGGATACACCTAAAGCCGAGTCGAGACCCGTTGACCTCCTGTTGCCGACCTTGCCGTTGATCATGTCAAGAGCATCTGTCCCCTCATCCATACAGTCCATCTTAGTGATGACTCCCATCGTCCGATCACCAGAAGGGTCCACCTCGGAAAGAGGACCTCATTATTGACGTAGTCTACCTCGCCCCTTACCTGCCGCGCGAGTTGCAGAGAATCACTGTTGGCCAAATCAGTGTTGGCCGCGGTCACTGAGAAAAGAAGCCCTCCTCAGCTGTGTGGGAAAATATACATATGGTCAACAACATGCGCGGGTGACAATACAAAAATTTTCAGGAATTTCGGAAAATTTACGTATACCGTAATTCGTATACGAACTCCCGAGCTCACCTGAGAAAAGCGAACACATATTGCAAGACTAAACAACAGGGATGATCTTCCTACCAGCAAGCACGATACAGTTTGGCTTTGAAATGTACGACAGGACCATGTCCTTGATCCTGGCCTCGACATCAAGTGGTTGGTCTCCCACAGGCACCTTCGTAATACCAGGCAGATCGATCAAAGTCAGATCTGAATGGGTTCATCACCAGCGACCCCAAGAGGCCTCCTCACCAATGACGTAGGGCGAGAAAATCTTCAGACATATTGGTTCCGGACTGACCCCCTTGGAAGCACCACAGACTCGATCAGTTTCATCTTCTATTTCCTGGCGAATCTCGGCGAAGTCGGAGAATCTAACGCATTAGAATCTAAGGTGGTAAGGCGGGTAAAAAGGGGGGACGGTGTGGGAAAATACGCACATGTGTTGGTGACAATATGGAAATTTTGAGGAAATTATTGTTGGTTTCTGTACCACTCCTCCCGAATTCGTATGTAAACTTCTATAATTAGTGAGGAAACTCCTGAGCTCAGCTGGAGAAACCCAACATATATTGCCACCCCATAGTAGTCGCTGCCTGCAACAGCGTATGAGCCTCATCCACTCCACTTGAGTAATCATGCACATATATTATGTCTACTGAATTCTCGAACAGTGTGAGAATATGTGCGCATCGTCAACTACGTTTAATGGTAAAACTGTGGAAATTTTGAGAAATCATTTTTGATTTTTTTCACATCTACACAAATGGTGTGCGGTTTCCCATTCCCATGTAGTGTGTTCAGTTGAGGAAACCAAACATGTGTCCCCACACTGTTGTCTATCCTCGACTTACTTTTTATCAGGTCGATGAGTAAATTCCCCCACTCTTTAGCAGTCTTATCACCCACCACTACCTACAGTGTGACACTACAGCAACGACAACAGCCACATGCCGTGTCACCAGCCTTTATCGTAGGACCAACGACTTGATCATTAGTCGTATTGCGAAGCTGTAGAATCAGCGGTCTGCGAGTGACTATACCCGTCCCCCGTGGAAGGAAGTCCCGACCGACCAGAGCTTCCAACACCTGCTCGAGTCAGTCCTACCCCCCTACACTGTGATCGACCTTACACTGGTCTTTCCGACACTTTGGCAGCCGACAACAGCCAACTGTGGCAAATCCAAGGTCACATGGAGCCCCACTGTCGAGAGCAGATCCTGGAGTCTGTTGATCACTGGTATGAGCTGATCCATGAACCACAGTAGAAGAGCAGTACAGTTGAACCAAAGTCTTCATATATCCCTAATTGACAACTTGACACAATACCTTCCCCGATGTCCGAAACATGCACACGCTGAAACAGTGTCACCAATTATCTCCTACTCCCTCCGACCTCTCCGCCGCTCGCTCCGCCTTCCGTTTTGATTTCATCCACATGTCGGTGGCCAGCTTCTCGACTCTGCTGTTAATAACCTACCATGGAACCCTGAGAGCCCGCGCCCATAACTACACCAACATCGTCCAAGTCTCGGGCTATTCTCCTCGTCTTAGCTGCATCTCTCGCCTCAATGAGCTCCTTAATATGCTTGTTACTCTTCATCACACTAGCCTTCATCCGGTCAAACGCTGTAGTGTCCGCTTGGAAACGAGCCGCCTAGGAGAAAGCCTAGTAAGGCCACAGACCAGACCGGTCCCCCCCAACCTCGACGAGCTGTTTGGTATAAGCTGCTACTGCCCATGCATCGGACATGTAGTACACGCATTCATTCAGCTGACCATTTTGGTGATACAGTGATGGGAAATCCGGAATCTACAACGGAGGCGTCCACCCATAGACCAAGACTACTACTACTACTACTACTACTACTACTACTACTACTACTACTACTACTACTACCTCCTCAAGAGCCAGTTTGTGCAGTTCTAGTCTCGACGGCTGACCCACATTGTCAACTCCCTGAAATAAGACCAGCATCGTAGCCCAACGACAAAACAACGGCTTACCATAAATCGCCTTGCGACTCTGCTAGCGACAGGGAATATCTTCACTCGTGGGGGCTCAACTCCTGGTTGGTTGAAGACCCTATGCAGATCGTGCTGAACGATACCTGCGTCCCAAAGCCTCCTCGCAAGCAGTGTGGCAGAAAATATGCAATGGTGTTGGTGATTGTAGGATTTTTCTGCTGTTTTTTGTCCACTCTTACTCCGAGTCGTGTGAAAAATTCGACCATGGAGTTTCATCCGTGGTAGGAAAACACTAGTGAATAATGTATTTCGTGACTACTGTATATCGCGAATATCGCGTTTTTCACAAAGTACTACACCACTACACCTAAAATGGGTGAAACTCCACTTTAGTGAGCTCAGCTCATGAAGCCTAGACCTATCCCGGCGTCGCCCACCATGCAGTTTCAAGCCGTCCAGATACTTCCGTTGTGTTGCCCCCCGCTTGTGTGGAAAGCCATGCAGGTGCTCTTGATAGCCGATGTGCCATTGTACAGTAGTCTCGGGAAACTACACATACTAACACTACTAGTTGATCACAATGGCGCGTTTCACTTCAGCTTCCCTCTCCTCCTTCACTGCTCGTAGAGCTGAAGTCACTTGATCGGCTCGCTGATGGACCTACGACCTTCCCACTACTGTGTCCAACCTCGCAGCACTTGTTTACATCGGTGAAATCTCTCACATCGATAAGGCCGAACTTGACTGGACCAACGGTGGCGAAGTCAAGCACTGCGTATCTGTACCGCAGGTAGGCAGTTTGCATGGACATGATGGTCTACCCGACAAATAGCTTGCCCATGGACACTCCTAAGAGCAGCTCGCCCGATGCCTTCTCAGCTGAGGCGACTTGGGGCGCTACGGAAGACCACCGCCGGGCCACAACCACTGGTCGAACTAGATGAAAGACCTTAGGCCCGAGTAAGGGCTGGATAGGCATCGTGGCAGAGCACACTTGTCAAGCAGTATTGACATGCACTTCATACAGCTCAACATCTAGAGTAGTAAAATCAGCTTCATCCTCGGTGACCGAACTAAGGACCCTCTCAAAGAGCCACGGTGGCATGTCCTACTGTTGGTGATGAAGGGTGATCTTCTACAATTTCTGAGTCCCTATCGTCAACTCCGACCCTAGACCCACTACGTTTCCGCTCAGAAGAGCACTGGAGGACGAAAGGTCGGAAGCTCTGGAAGTGCTCGCTCCCTTCCTCCAAAGTATCATGAATTGACGAGGCCCAGACACATCAGAGGTGCCTATAGTCCATCATGAAGTCCATACAGTTTTCAATCTCGTCCAATCCGAACTCGTGAGCACCTCATCGACTCACTACATCGCCCAAGAGCCTCCCAGCAGTGAGAAAAGCAGCCTTCGACCTGTATCCGCTTGCTTGTGGGATCTGTGCCGCATTGTAGCACTGATGGACGCTTCAATGGACGTCGGTTGCCCACGACTGTGAGGATGGTGACAGTTCTGGTGACGAAGAGGTGGTGACGTTCTGGTGAAACAGACGGAGTGTGTACCGGTTATGTAACTAAGCTCATCATTTCGTGGCGCGTGACAACGATGGAAAATTCAAGTGTGCGTCGAAATTGCATTAGTTTTCACTGCTGTGATGGGCACGTCGATCCCAACGGTCCTCCGCCCACGCCTCACCATTTCCCCTATGGAACTCATGCCGTCGTTTTAGCGTTCCTATAATTGTGATGCAATAGTGACTGCGGATCAGCCGAAAGTTGTACAATTGTAGTCCATACTCTTGTCAGGTGTCGAGGTCTGTTCTATTATTCAGTCTATCTCCCATAGAGACGTGAAGTGTCGTCTTGAGGGGTCTAAGGACTCCAATATAATCTACCTTCGAATCACTTTGCGAAATTTTCCTTGAATGATACGAGTGCTGAAGCGATCGATAGGAACCGGTCGTGACGCCGGTTTCCCCAGGACCGAGTTTCTCAAATGCTTTCCTTACGGATCAGCCGATCAAACAGTATCATAGCCGCGGAGGGAAAACACCGCAACCGGAATTGCTGGAGTTCACATGTTTTTTCTTGGAGGCTAGTAGTGCTGTTTTCGAGGGTGAGTTGTATCTGTGGGCAGCGTGATGGCTTCCGTGATATGAGTTGGGCCGAGTTTTGAGCTGCTCTAATGAGAGTCCCCCTATTGCAATAGCCTTAGTATGACTTCCTCACACATGCCGCATCGGGACCATGGCACTCGTGCATGTCATCGGTACAGTTTCATTCGGTCTTCTTTCTCACTCGTTTGCCACATGCATTTGGAAGACGATTTATCAGCCATCAGAAAGTCGATGGATGATCCCGTGAACACCGGTGATGCTATTGTAGCCCTCAACCGGGACTTCATCAAGTTGCACGTCACAGTCACTCCGTTCAGAGAAGCCATCCTGTCCCTACAGGTTGGTCGTAGACCTCGGTAATCTCCGTGATCTGTTATTTCAGTTCCCTCTGGAGGGCGTGAGATACCCCGAGGCCCCGGCCATTGTCGATGTATCGTCCAATCACCTCTCCACCGTTGCTTGCGATAAGCTGACTGGGATGGTAGACAAAGTAGCGCAGCAACATGCAAAGAAGGGAGAGGATCATGTAAGCTGTAGAGGGTTGCCTTTGGAAACCATCACAGCTTGAAGTCGTTGAATGAGACAAAGGCCTAGAACATACTAGGCAACAGCCTAGGACTTAGCCCATACGAAAATCCTGAACATGGCCCAGTCACGACCCGCTGTATGAGTACTACTAGAACTGAATTGGTCGATTGGTGCTGGTGTCGGGCATCGTAGTTGAGGAAGTGTTCAAGAGTTTGATATATTATTCTTGTCGATAGGTGTTACCGTGCATAAAGCTGTTCCGTGATGTTATGCGGAAGTCGTTGCTACTGCCTTGCATGGAGGAATTAGATCTACTCAAGAAAAATGTCCTGCAGGAAGGAGATGTCATGAAGCTGGTGGATAGCAAAGGGAAGATACACCTTACAGTGATGGCCTCGATAGAAGGTTTAGATGGCTCTCATCAGATTGTTGCTCAGATTCACGAGGGAACGATGCACGTTAAGTTCGATTTGAAAGTCCCAACTGAGTAAGCCCTGGGCCCTGGTTTCCAGAGGGGATGCAAGCGCTGTGTATCTATAGCTAGTGTCTACGATGTTAATACCATTCAGTTGCCGATTGAATATGCATGTTTTTGGAGGCGGAATATTCGAGAAGTTGAGCCCTTAGCGTTCTAGTTCGTCTATTTGATGTTTCTTTCTTGACTATACCACTAATCTCTCTACTCGCGATTGGTGTCCTCGGTACAGCAGAACCATCGGGCGCTTCGTTTCTCATCACTCAAATACTGATAGGTACCCGTATGAGTCAGTAACAGTGACTATGATCGAATCCACATTCGCGCCACATCTGAACGAGATGTTCTTCGGACAAGCTCAGGACCTCTGTCGGCGGTGTACCAAAGGACAGACCCTCTCGACCTCCCTGAGGTGCCGCTCACCATTGCCTGTACGTTAGTGTCAATACACATTGGGTAGGTCGAGCGATCCAGCTAAGCCTAGCAAGTCTGTGGTGAAGCTCTCGCTTTCGCAGTAAGCCGTGATTGGTCAAATACGTCTTCGTATGATCGTATAGGTATAAGCACGATGTAGCGTTCCTGAAGCAGCGGAAGGAGAAGGCCGCGCAGGTGACCAACAAAGTTGGCCGAAGAGCGGTACGGTACTTTGAGAAGACGGAATGGGCAGCAGAACTTGAAAAGGAGGTGGGAGTTGGTGATAGCATGTGAGGATGTGAGATACGTTATGATTTCAGCAAAAGCAAGCGGCTCTTGAGAAGGCTATGTCACAGCACAAGCAACCCCCACCAATTCTATCTGTGTACCCTGTGACTGAATTTCTCGCTAACAAATTCATTCATCTTGTGCCGAACATGAAAGTAGCACTCCTCCCTCCAGCAACGATTGATGAAGTGTCTTCTTTGTCAGTGCTCTTCATGTGGTAAGCGTGTGCTGGCTAACATCGTCTCGGACGATCCATCGGCGCCATCTGAGGACACAGCGGAGAGAGCTTACTGTGGTCATTGGTTCCATGGCAGTTGCTTGGTAAAGTACCTGGCTTGGAGTAGTGGTCGGACTAAGTGTTTAATGTATAGGAAACGTTGATGACGAGTCCCCCCTTTGGTATGAGCTGTCCTGATAAGAATTGTGGTTGGAGGATATACCACAATAAATACACGAGGGACCAGAAGGTGGGCGACTTGCTCCCCCAAACGCTGTCACAGCATTGCTGTGTCCTTTCCCTCTGTCGAGTAGTTCTCTGTATAGTAATATAGCGATAGATAGATTTTGGTGGAAAAAATGGGATATTCGGTATTCTTTATTATGTTAAGTATAGTATATCGCAGTCTACAATAATTAATAACGACCATAGATGATATTTTGGAAACAATGAGGGCACATTAATAACAGTTTTATCTCTATGCGATTTCATCTCTTATCTCTATTAATGTGTATTCATCTGTAGTACCTTGTTAAGTTATCCTCAGTATAGTGAGAACTTTTCACTGAGAAGTGAGCCAAGATGAAGTTATTGTCAGTTCCTCGAGAAGCAATGGGCGATGGCGGAAGCTCGAAAGAGGGAGTTAGAGGACGTCATGGATTTTGCTAGAGATATAGATCGTCTTTGAGTTTCTACCCAACGTATGCACATTCCTCATCAACTACCCGTTGTTTTGTCAATTGGATGAGTAACTAAGTAGTACGCTGGATGGTAGAACTATACCCTTCAGGAATCCGTTTGGTCAATAGGTCTTCTGCCGCAGGAGAACAACACCCCGCTTGAACGATTCCTTCACAGGCTCTCTCAGATGAGACCTGGCCTTGCGCTTGGCTTTTCACCACATATGACTCATACGATATGAATAGAATGAGAGATTCTAGAGAGCTGTCCTCTAATACTGCTTGATCCGACCTCGATGGTGGGCTATCGGTAGTTCTGGCCCTGGACTAAACCACAAGGGAACATGCAGGTTCAGAAGGCCTGAGTACAGTCTAGCAAACGAGGCTTGGGCTATCCTACTTGTTGTCAACTTGTCGAATATCCATCAGCATTTCCGACGAAGATGTGAGGCGCAAAGACTAGTGATGACTCGGTGCATGCGTTGCGACTTGCCGTCAGCAGTGCGGCCACAGTGTCCCCATTTTCGAGGACACTGTAACCAACCGCCAGAGGACGGGCCTATGAGAGAGATCTCAGGATTTTGCCGCTTTTGCCACGGAAAATGGTATCTCCAGTATCTTAGACTGTATGGAGCGCTTATGCATCCACTCATGGAGAGGAATAGTTCGCGTCAGATTCTGATGCGGCTGTGATCGAGAAGTGTAAAGTTACACTCCATGTTCTATGGAGTTGAACTCCATTGATATCTATAATGAAAGTCTCGTTACGGAACATTGCCGAAACGGTGCTAGTGGCATACTCTCTAGTTGGTCGCCCTCTTCGCAACACTGAACTCCAAGGGGAAATCCTCATTTCTAAAGAATAGGCCTCTTTTCTAAAGAAGTTTAGCTCATGCTCTCACTTGCATTTCGACTTAGCCTTGGATAACAGTTCGGGTTTCTGGTTTCCCGTCGGGTTTCGGGTGGGGTTTCGGGTTTCCCTTTCTCCGCTTTCACCTGCAGTTCTTGTTTTTTTTGGAATTTGCAGTTTAGATTCTCACTTGCGTTATGGTCATCACCTGGATATCAACCTTTACTTTCCATTAATGGCGCGCGCTTCTTTGGTTTTTATGCATCTCGCTTAGATTTGATGCAGTGCCCTGAACTCCAATTCGCATTCTATTCGCAACTCCAATGCCCCCTCGGAAAGTGCTTTTGGGGCCGACTCCAGGGCATTCGACAGGGACAGTCTGGCGATGTTCCGGACAGATTACTTGCTGACCTAGCCTCGCTAGGTATTCTATTCGGAAAATTGAAACCTCTCTGATCCACATTTCAAATTTCATGAAATTTCGACATGAAATTCCGCGCGCAGGGTTCGACTCAAATTCATAACCGTACCAGTGGGGTATTAAACCAAGGTTGTCCTTGAATGTAGTTGCCGTATCATGGCGTTCGATAACGGTAATAGCCGTGACGAGGCCACCAGATACGTGGATACGTAATACCCAGATTGTGCAGACGTTGGAAGTCCCAACTTGGGATCCGAAGGTCACGGTCTGTGTTGTTTATTGGGCGAGCGCTATTTGCGAATGTAGAAGTCAATTCAATGAAGAAGACCCAATTCTATTATGAATTGTATTGATTCTATATGAGAGTATTAGATTATAATAGTCTGCTATGAATACTATCGGTGCATTATTCATACGGCATGATCGATATCTGAGGCGCTTGTCGTATCGTCTCAAAGATCTCGTTCTTTTGTTGCGTCCAGTAATACGAAAGGATAAAAGGTTGTCTGACAATGCTGTGGTGTGCCGTTGAGTGGATCCCTCGTCTGTTGTTTCGAAATGATATTATGTTAGACGGTGCTCGAGGTGCTCACACACCACGCAATGTTTCAAAGTTAATGACATTGACACACTGAGTTTAGTGGCTAGGTACATCGACAGGCTTTCCCACCATGGGAGTTTGCTCGGGATGAGCACTGCGAAACTGCCTCTGTCTGGTATCTCTCAATGATACCATCGCTACTTGTCAGGACACTATTTTAGTTGGATGAATAACTCCTGTTTTGCTCATTTAGTTGGTTGGTACTTCAACAACTTGACTATTACAGGGGTGTATTTACCAGGGCCCTCACTGGTGGCCAACAATTGCGAATGTACATGGCTTGAGGTCAACTCGATTTGCCATGAGCTTAATAAGTATGGATAAATGTCCGCTAGCCGTCAAGACCTCTCAGTCGGGTTCTTCCTCTATACTTTCGGAGTGCTACGTCTACGTCGACCTCATCCCTATTTCTAGCTCGGGTCGGCGAAGTGTCGCTTAAAAGGGCGCCCTTATTCTGCAAGGAGTGGGGTATATATGATAGTCACGCGAGATGTTATTGGTATCCTGCTGGTTGCAATCAAGTTGGCAAGGATAGATCTATAGAGGATACAGTTGGCCCTCTGTAAAACTCCACATTGACGGAGTCTCAGTCTTGACTGGCTCCACTAGAGGTTTTGTGGTAGTCATCAGTGGTTGGAAGATCTCATCATTACTAGGTTGCTCGTATTCGTTTATGTTGCTGAGCTGCTCTGTTGGAGAAACTCAGCATGTTGAACGTAAAGGATGCATAGAACTAGATAATGGTAGGGAAAACTATTTGTGATGGCCCTTTCCTCGCCTCACTCAGTGCCCCTCATGCCTGAAATACTACTTATTCACGAGTTGTGTTCTCCAGCGTATTCGGATTGCCATATATTTGCGACAGTTTACACGAATGCCCATCCTAACAGTATCTTCCCATAGTAGACTACCAACGCTGGCAGCAATAGCACTCGGAACAGCGAGACGGCAGTTCAGCGTGGTGACACGACACAACTGGGAGAAAGTAATATGGTCAACGACACCGTTATGGATTTTGTCGTATAGTTACGGCCAGTGCTACTACAGGAGATTGAGAAGTGCGATTTTCTAACAATCGATTTCGAGCTCACAGGCCTCCTCTTATCTCAAGAAGACCGGTAGAGTCCTCCTTTGTCGTGTATATCACTAGCTAAGCTTTGCCAGGCACATAGGCCTCGATAAGGTGTACGACGCCTACTGCTCTGGTGCTCGTCACTTCATGCCGCTTCAAATGGGTCTTTGCGCTGTGACACGACATGATCGAGGGCAGGGACGCTACTTATTGTCGTTGGGGTAACTGTTTCTGGTCAGGTGGCGTCTGGCTCCGTTCAGCGTCTACATGTGGCCTCAGCGCTCAGCAACAGTGAATAGACCTGCTGTGCTTCAAGCCACTGCCAATGGTGGGTTTCCCTCTATCATCGTATACTAGGGTATGGATGTTAGGCTCATCGTCATCAGCATCTACCTCGACTGGTCACGGTGGCGACTCCCCGGATTCCGATGCCTTCATGGTCTCAGTGACCGCCATGAACTTCCTCTCGGAAGCTGGTTTCGATCTGAATGAGTGCATCAAAAATGGTGTTGGCTGGCTGAGGCCTGAACAAGAGAGGGCCAAAAGTAGGACTACGTGTATTGGTCTTTGTGACCACGAAGAATGTCCGTTTTTTCATTCGGGGACTAATGATAGTGAGCAATATATCTCTATCACAGTCTCGAGAGATTACTTTCATCGCATCACATGTTCATGGCAATGTTTGCATTGTTCATGCGATATAGTTTCAGATCGATTCTTATTAATATTAGAAAATGACATACATTTTCTTACTCACATATCATCGTGTCCTCCTCAGAGTCGGTCCTGGAGCAGCGTATCACCGAGATACGGCAGATGAAGGAGCAAGCCACGGCTAAGGCGGCGTCAGAGGCGACACCAGTAGGCCGGTCAGCAGTAACTGCTATTACTCACATGATGCCAGGCACCACCGGAGATCTCGCCGGGGCCTGATCTGGACGTGATTAACAACGTAAAGGAGACGATCGGTGATTGGCTGCGGAATGATCCTCATGGGACCAACAACCTCGAGGTGAGTTTGGTGAGCACAACGTTAATCCGCTGAATATGGTATAAGCCATTATAATAAAGTTTCACCCTAGTGATATGAACAACACTAGTGAAAAATATATTCCACGACTATTGCATAGCGCCAATATGGCGTTTTTCACAGAGTACTACGCCGCTCCACGTAAAACGGGTGAAAGTTTTCATATATATAAAGTATCACATTATATTATCGCTTTATAGAAGTATTATATATTGGAGTTTCTTGTATGGAAAACACTAATGAAAAACTTATTCTACGACTACTGCATAGGGCGAATTTCGCGTTTTTCACAGAGTTTTAGGCCACTTCACGTTAAATGGGTGAAACTCCGTTGTAGTATAGTTATACGTACAGGTTTCCATGGGTTGACTATACGATAGTAACGATCGCTCACTCGTTGCGGTTATGATACGGACTTTGTGCCTGCTCAGGTTCCGATGCCGTCAGCATTCCAGCGTCTGTTGATGCACAGTGTTATTGCGGCTGAGTACCCCAATCTGTATTCATATTCATCAAGGAGAGCATCTGATGGAGAGAGGATGCTCGTAGTATATCGGAGTCAAGACCATTATATGAAACTCAGATTAAGGAGATAGAGGTGAGTCCAGCACTAGTGGTAGGGTGACGACTATACTCGTCATGCAGGAGGACTGCAACAAACAACTGTCCAAGTGGGGGTCCGATCGCTCCTCGATGCGGCGGCTGATAAAGTCATTGTGGGCCACAACTGCTTCCTAGACGTCCTTCATGCGCAGCACAGACTGTGAGGCGGCCGGTGCTTGCAGTGTTAGGGGGAAAATATGCATAGGGTCAACTACATGTGTTGGTGATAATATGAAAATTTGATTTTAAAATCCGTGTATGGATTTTCATCACTAGTGAGGAAACTCCTGGACTCCGTTGAGGAAAACGAACATATATTCCAACACTGGGTGCTGGTCCGCTTGGTCTTACTTTGAGCGTAGTTGCTGTAGGTACGACGCATTGCCATCTACAGTGAGTGAATTCAAGGATAAGTGGACTGAGCGGTTTAAAGGCGGCGTACTGGACACCAAGTACATTGCTGAGGTAGGCCATCCTAGCTAGGGCTTGTGAATGTGATGTACGGTGGTAGACGCATGAGTTCTTATCGCCACTCAACCCGCCTGCAACACTAAAGGGACTGTGTGACTTCATGGCACACCGACACGTGCAGGAGCATGGTATGTCCTGGAGGGGTATGTTGCTGAGGACTGTCGTAGGAGTTCGCGTAGGTGACGAGACTTCATTAGGGCATCTATTGCGATTAGAATTGGTTAATCTGGTCAGTGATGGGGAAGCAGACAGCACTTCAATACAGTGAGACCTGTTTGACGTGTGCGTTGTGAAGCGTCTATGGTCTTAGGCCGCCTCACGCGGCGAGGAGGCTCTTTCATAAGGAGGGAAGCGACGCGGAGCAGTCGAGTGACGGAGAGAGCACGATAAGCCTATCGGAGAAACCGGCTGTGGACATGTCCCATGACGCGGGGTAGGCTGCTACTGCTGGCCACAGGTTGAGTGCAAGCTTGAGGCAGATACGATGCCATGATGACCGCGTTGGTGTGTCTATTGCAGTTGTCGGAGATTTGCTCGAGGAAAGGTATCGACATGTACCAGCAGGTCAGTTCAAAGTCGTTAGCTGGGATGAATGATCATTCCTATCAGCTGGCATTCAAGGACGTGAGCACCACTGCTATGAGCAAGAAGGCCCTCTCGATTTCACAGCTCTTACCGACGTCTATTAATCGAGTATGATCCGTCACGGCTCGAGTGTAGGTCGACGAGCATCTTGTGTGCAGGTTCGCCTGGTGAAGTCTCAGCCTAGTGTCCTCAACATTGCAGGGAGGGACGAAACCGACATGCAACGACATTTTTATATGACCAATTTCCCGACGTCCTGGACCAAGTGGGAAGTCATGAAGGTATCGACGAGTTGTTGCTCGTGAGGCAGTGTCGGCCTGCTGTAGGTGTGGTCCCCTGTGTGGGTGAACATAGCCTTTATACAGCCATCGGCTGGGCATGCATCCCCGGTCGGCTCATGTTGGGTGATGGCGAGGAATGACGAGGATGCGGAGAGTATACGGCAGATCTACGACATGATGGACCGAGACCATCGGAATTTTGATCTTTACACCTACGATGAGTACGCAGCTCGAGAGGTCAGTCGTTTTTATCGTTATTACACCAGATACCAGAAGCATAGGGCCGACCTCTCTGAACTGGACACAGCAGAGTCATCAAAAGCGTCAGCTCCTGCACGACCAGCGCCACCGGTGGATCGGCCCTCAGTTTGAGTGTCTTGGACACTAGTCAATTTCAGGCACCAGAGAAACGCCGGTTGATGGAAGCAGTCCGAGTCGGGTGATCGTCGTCGAGTTTCAACGTTGTGATAGTCTCATGCTCTTGTGAAAGGGGACATGATGTTTTTTGATTCACGCCTACTTCCGATAACCGTTTCAGTTTTAACCAAAGAGATTGTGTGTTGCGTTTCTGCTGTAGTGATGGGTGGACACGAAAGGAAACGGTAACGATATAAAGAGGAGTGCACTACTAACAGACTCTTTCAAAACGGTGTGGAATTCCAAGGCTACTCAGATCTGCTGGTTCGAGGGTATTCAGAACTATACGACTGATGGCCTGGAAAGCTGGTGTGGCGCTGGCGGCTGAAAGCGCCAACTCCTTCAGTTGACTCTACTTAGACAGTTACCCTAATCGAATTAAGAACAGTGAGACATGAAGGAATGCCATGTGAATGTGTGTGTGAGTTTAAAGTCCAACGCCGCCAACACGCCATGGGAGCTGGGGGGAGGGAGATAGTTTTGCCGTATCCCGTGTTTTGAGTTGATTGATGTCGCCGATAGTCTCGATTGAGTTCTCGGACAAATCGACTCGTCCGACATGATGATGCTGTATCTTCCAGGAATCTATTTGGCGGTTAAAGCCACTAATTTGGCGAGTAAGGAAATCATATTCACGGATAGAGACGTCAATCAAATTCAAGTCAAATTCAAGCAAATTCAAGTATCAAAGTAAAGACATCGATCTCGGGTTGCAGTTTTCATGATGCAGATTCACACTGTGCAGCCCCACAGTCCATTTTTGAAGGTTAGCATAATTCCGCACAGATTTGAATCCTGAGGCCCTGCCAAGGTGAAATTGATGTTCCAAAGTCTCAACCACAGAGATCCGTAGATCCTAGAAAGGTGCATTTCATGCACTTGTCAACACTGTGTTGTTCGATCGAGTGAGTTGTTCAAATTTCGATTCTCACTGAATGTAGCTGCCGATTGGAATGGCGTTGGCGCCGCCGACCCTGCATGGCTCAGGCGACAGGAGCAGAGTCCAGGGTTGGAGGGCAGGAGGTCTCGTCGACGCCTATCGCCAATACCACCCATGAGAGGACTGGAATGCAGACGCGACTTAGAGGGATGGTCCAAGAAACTGTCCGGACCCTCTTGAGTGAGTCTGACTATCTCATGGTAGTTTCATTGAGAAGATACTGTGGGTTCTACAGATAGGGGATGCGGATGGCTTACGTTATCGTTCCTCTATCCATTAATAATATAAGAGTTTCATCATTCTTCTCTTTGATTGTGTTTTATACTGGTGTGCTTGTGCGCCCTCGTCAGGGAGAGTCCGAATCCATCGATCCCTTGGACGTTCTGTTATCTTCCAGCAGCAGCAGCAACATCTGGTCATCGGCCCAACCATGGTATTCACGTTTCACGATGTCTGCGACTATCGCTTTATCCAGCTTCGCTGACTCTTCTCTGCCTTGGTTGAGAGAGGCCTTAGAAACGTGCAGGTCGCGGAGCTCCGTCAAGTTTGAGCGAGGTAGCCCTTCAAGCTTTGCGACCCCTTCCTTGGTGGTTGGCAGAACGGTGTGCGTGTCGGTCCGAAAAAGCAGATGTCACTATTTACCGTCCGGGAAAAACATTGAGAGTTCGTGTCGTCGACTCCCAGGATACCCGGTGAGCCGCCTCTCTCAAATCCGAGGAGATAGGACGGCGTTCACGGTAAAGGTTTCATTCAGGCACCGACTTGTCTTGCAAGACATTTTTTATCAACCATTTATGAAAGAACGACTGTGAGAGACCGAACACTGGGGAGGCCCCTACAGCTTCTATATCTTTTCGAGGTCTTTCGTAATGGCTATAACACTAGACCCTGAGGATGCCATGTTCCTCAATGAAACGTTCATCGGCGGCTCGGAATGGCCTAAGATAGTTCAATGCTCCAGCAGAGCAGATCGTGAGTTGACCTGAGGTATTTCGAAGGAGGTTTCATCTCAGTTGTAGCAGCATTGTGGTGGATGATGACCGTGGCCGAGTGATATTACAAATGACCATTCTTTCCCCTAGCATCACATGTGGTGTCCAGTTTGCTTCACATGTTCATGGATTTGTTGTGTTAGAAGTGTCTCACCATACGTCGCTACGACGAACTGTAATGATACTTCTTTCTCCATTCGTTATGCAATGTAAACTCCATAACGTTCACAGCGGGATCAAATCATACTCCGACAACCCGTACAACTCGTAGGCGATAATTTCCATCATATTCACAGCACCTTCCTGCCCAACACAGGTCATCCATTAGCAAGATGCTCTATAATAGGCGTATCGAGGCGGAACTGATACACCACTTCAGTAGCAGCTCCTTGCAATGCAAATAGTCACGAGTGATACGGAATCGGTACCAGTGATGACTGTCGTCTTGGGATTTCGACAAAGGTGGTTGTGTAGCTCACGCGTTTATTATTCAATACACTAATGAACATAACATGAGGCCTTCAGAAACACTAAGGACGATTTTGGTTTCCAATGGGGCTATCAACTGAATCACGAGTGGTCGGCTGTTGCTCGGTGGCCATAGTAACCTTGAAGCAGCAGCCTCCGATGACCGGCGCCTCCGTGATGTCGAAGTATCCCACGTAACATGGATGACCAAGAGCCGATAGATAGCCCGCAATGATCTGACAATGAACTCGTTCCCATCGAGACTTTCGAGCAAGTCGATAGATTGAATGATGGCTTACCCCCTTAGGCAGCTCCAATGTTTGCTCGATCCGATTGATGACGTGTGGAGGTGTCGCATCAACGTCGTTGTAGTTCACACCGGCTTTGACCATCTCCTCTATTGGTGCGAACGCATAGTCATGAATAACATAGTTACCCTGAAGGCAACAGCAGCAGCAGTTTCCAATATCCAACCTCGAGAGGCATCTTACTCGGTTATCGGTCTGCAGACGGTCGGCTTGTTTGCCATAAAGCCGCAACCACAGATGCTTGCAAACATTCTTCACAGCAAGATCGTCACGCTCCAAAGCAGCTTTCTGTTCTGGATACATCGCATCAACTGCCCTGATGGAGAATGTGTTATACCCAAGCAAGGACCCCTGCTGCTACTGTTTCCCTAGTCGTTCCCCAATCCACATTCCCATGCTCTCAAGAAGACTGTACGATACCACACCATCATCCAGCATCCTCTCACCGTACCGCGTGACCATAGCGTCATGTAAAACCTAGAGACATGATGCGCTGCTGGATAGCGACGGTCCTCACCGTGAAACTAGCTTGAGAGACCATGGAAGGTCTCTCACTAGGTTTGGGAGTCGGCGGAGGTGTCAATGGAGTATCTATCGGTACCGCTACTGTCGGGGCTTGCCCGCCTGACTTGATACTGTCCGAGTCCGACATTAATACTCAAACTACAGGAGAGCTCTCCAGTGAAGTACAATATGCACATGGTCAACAGCATGTGTTGTGACAATATGAAAATTCTGAGGAAATCTCGAAAATTAAAATTCTTATTGGTTTCTGTGCACTTCTGCCCGAATTCGTATGTAAACTTCTATGATGAGTGAGAAAACCTCGGAGCTCAGGTGAGGAAAGCGAACATATATTCCAACACTGGAGTACTCCATCACAGCTATCAGCGACCCAGGGAACTCAACAGCGCTATTCGAAACCACATCAAAAGCATCCTCGTGTCATATGCTACTCCTGTGCTTCAGTGCTTGGAGGCTCCTGGCCGATTGGAATCTTTCACGAGTAGTCGCCATTCGCTGTTGGCAAAATGTAACTAGTCTTCGAAAAGCCTCGCGACCAACCTTGTCATCACCATCACCATCTGCAATTTGTACGAGAGTGAGTGCATACCGCGAGGAGACTTCATAACGGACTTGTCTATGGCATTCATCAGATAAACCTGTTTCGAAGACCTATTCAACCAGTGATATATCGAGGAAACAGGTGCTCTTGAGATCTCGGGGATAAATACAGCGACAAGGGCATCGAAGGCAACCGCCACAGAGGTGGAGTCTGCAAGCCAAATGCCGCACAGGAGATAGTAAAAGTCCTTGCAGGAAATCCCACCCTAGCTGTTCATAAAAAATCAGAAGCTCACGTGGCAGCCGCAGTGACGCTTCCTTAACGCATGAACGGCACCAGCCCCTCCCGCAGGCCGATGGCTTTCCGTCATAACCTGACCATGTGGACATCAACGTATGGTTGCCTATGAATTTGTTCATCGGAGAAATCCCAGGCCATTTCCTATATTGGTATCAATCCTACTTCATTCCCATTGAGTTTAAGCAAATCTACAGCACATCTTCCAAGACTCCACCACTTGCCATGCTACCACCTACGGAACGACTCGACGAATCCCTGGCCCCACGCATGGCTACAGTTGTTGTAAGTTCAAACGAATCTGCTGCCCCCAAGTGAATTTGCCTACCGCAACATTTCCACTGTTGGTAAAACGCAACAGAAGATAGAGAATAGAAAACCTCACGCACGCACGGAGTTGTTAGAAAAGTATTTCGTTGTCATAATGTCAATCGAATTCGAGGGGTAGAGAATATTCATGCTCCCTGTGCTTTGCACTGCTTGAGCTGATCAACAAGGGACTGGCATTCGAACGACTCCTTACCTAGAAGAAACATGAAAACAAAAACTGTCGCCGCGAGCCGGCCCTACTCGACAGGCACTGATTAAGGCTGTCTTGCTGGCTCGTGCATGGGTCCGCTGGGGCCGAGGAAGGGCCTCCTTCGTGCTTGTGGACAACCTATATACAATTAAAGGCCATCAAGAGGTGGTCGGGGACGCACCTCTGTCTGCCTAGGGCCGAAGATAGCATCAACTGCGCGATTGGCAACTGACATCCCCACGCCCGATGCCATGCCTCCCATCAGAGATCCAGCCAAGCCAGACAGCATCCCGCCGCCACCACCACCTTAGAGACACTCGCCTGCTACTAGAAAGAGTTGATATCAGAGCCTACCGGAGGGGGCAGCAGGAGGAGGGCTGGCCGCTGCTACCGGGGTCGGGTTAGACGCCGAATGGGCCGTAGGGGCAGCTGGTGGAGCGTGTGTGGGAGCAGTAGGGGTAGATGAAGTTGTAGTAGGAGTAGGAGAGCTTGGAGGAGAAGACTGTGAAAATACGAGGTAAAAAGGGAGAGGGAGGTGCTGCATCCACTACCTGCTGCTGTGTGGTAGAGGTATGACTACTTTTCCTGCCGTGACTAGGACCAGTGGCCGTAGCTCTGCGGGCTCCCGTTGTAGGGCCGGCAGGAGGAGTAGAAGACGTGGTCTTAGTAGGACCCGATTTGCGTGGCATGGTAGCGTAGCCGAGAAAAAACAATCTTGGAACATGGTCCAAGAGTGCAAGGCCGTCCCCCAGTCCGAGACCCGGGATTCGTCAACTCGCTAGACTTGGTGAAACTCCACTTTCGCTGGTCAGTAGCTGAGTTTTACGCAGACTTCATAACTAAGCTGCGAATTTTTCCCTGACGGCGCTTACCCAAAACTTGTCGAAAAATTTGGAGTTGAAATTCGGAGTTCATCAAATGCGCTCGCCCGCACGCGAAAACCTGTCCCACTTATCATGAAAACTTCTAATGATGAGTAGCTTCCCGAATTGGCAACAGCGATCCCATAGAGAATTTCATGGACATCCCCCACTTCCTGTTGTAACATGTTGACGACATAGATTTATGTACTTGCAAGGCTTTCGTTGTCCAGGTAGCCCCAGAGGATTACTCGAGCACCATAATATTCGGACCCTTGAAGGTTGCGGTTTGTTAACAGCCCTGTAGAGACTCAGGGATCGTTCCGGTTGCAATGAAGACTACACTCATCGATAAAACGTCATATTCTTTAAATAATTATTACCGCGACCCTCTTGGCAAAAGCAGATGAGGACACAGATTTCCACCACCAGCTTTTCATTGACAAGCTGAACATTTCGGCAGAGAAGATGCCTGTTCGTGTTCTCATCCTGATATCCACAAATTGATGCTATTCGATCCTCCACAAAACCGCTTCATGTTTCTTATACCCCACAATAGCTGATGTCTAGGGTGCTCCAAGTTTGGTGCTGTGTTGTCAAATCGGACCGTCCAAACGAAGCTGGCGGTTGCTTGGACGACTAGTAACGAGACACGCCATGGAAATATGAAAACGCGCATGATACACGAGGCAACTCATCGGGTGTCATCATCGTACTCTCAGGCAGAAGAAGACTCAGATGTGCTAGTCACCTTGGCCTTCTCTTCTTTACGGCAACCCTTCTTAGCGATGAAGTATACAGCCAACAGAACGATGATTGAAAATACCTCAGAGAGCCCAACCTCACAGATACGAGAGCAACACACACTCACCTTGGGATCCTTCAATTTTGGTAGAGCTTGCTGCACCGGAGGTCCGACAACTGTCGCCACGCCAAGACTCGTTCCCATCACACAGGCTCCCACGATGGTTGACCTACGCATAATATGCTGCATTTGATAAGAGAAGAGCTCACCTCAGGAACCTCTCAAGCTGGAAAAACTCTTTCGGGCTCTTCTTCCTGTCCGGTCTCTGGAGAGAGTATCCCCTCCACTCGTTGCCAGGTGCGGAGATGATGCAGGCCAAAACCACCGTAACAAACATGGTAGATATGCGCCCTAAAAAGAATTACAGTACGACGCTTTCTGATGACCCAGTTGCATATACCAACGGTCGAGTCCGATGCGTTAGGGAAAGTCCTCGCCATAAAGGCAGCTATGGTGTTACGAGAATTAGCATAGATAACGTCCCGAACCTACAACGTGTACAACCTAGAGCATCGCGAGGAGCAACGACTCGTACCACGGTGGGGAGGTATGCTGTCCACAGAGAAGAGTCGGTGAGGGCCACTTCTCTGTTCATAGACTTGTTGAAGCGGTAGTTGGTGATGGGCAGGGTAGCCGTGGTAAAGATGATACCTACCCACACATGTACCAGCAGAGGAGGTTGCTGGGAAAGCCACCAGTGATGACGCCGCGCAGCTCCTTGGGGATGTCGACGCGGCGAATGATCTCGTTGAGGACTTCAAACAACGGGAACTTAATAAAATTGGTGGGCAGAGTGGTTTGAAAGTACTTTATAGACCTCTCGACGTCAACCTCAGCCAGTGCCTATGACACTGCGGCCTCATCAGCCAGTGCCGTACAGGAGAAGACTCACCTGCTTGAGGGAACACCTCTCCACGAGTACCCTGTTGGTGACTGGGTCGGTGACACTGGCGATGAGGGCTCCAACGATGGCACCAGCAGCGCCCTGGCTGGCAGCGGCTACACTGGCGCTCACCAGAGACATACGGTCAATAGAGGACTGAGCGCGTTCGAGAATACTAGGCCCAGCGAAGTGTGACAGCTGTGCGACACCGGAAAGTAGTAAAACAAGCTTCATCTCTATCTGCTGTTGGCAGAGTCGAATCGAGAACGAACTATTAAAAAACTGCTAAGGCGGACTGATTTCAATTTGATGACACCCTGAAGCACTCGAACATTTTGTGGTGCGGCAACAAACCCTGCTGAGCACGCTCGAGACGGGTGTCCGTTCGCCATCGTCATCTTTGTCTCTTATCTATAACAGACGATATATCATTTCTGTCCACTACAAGGTGAAGGCCATTGAGTGCAACTTCATTCGCTACCTTTACGATGATATTCGCGGCGTCGGTCAGCAAGTGCAAAGTGGATTAAAAGACAATCAGCAGTATTCGAACTTAGTTCCGAAACATCTGAGGAAGAC